TGATCTTCATGAAATGGCAAGTTTTATAATTTTCATCGGGTCTGATTTGCAAGTAATAGAAGGGTTTAAATTTTCTCCATTTGTATTTTTATCATTATTATTCTAATAACTTTTTGTCAATTAAAAAGAAATAATTAGCAAACATTCATTTAATCCTTTAAAGCAACAGTAGTTTACTTAATTCCATTACTAATATTAAAAAAGAGGTAACAAAGATGATATAAATAACGTTTGAATTAATTAATGTAACACAAAGTTGTTTAGCAAATAAATCATGTGAAAGTCACGGGAGTGCATTTAGAGAGGGTGGTTTTATATAAACGGGATGGGGGAAGACCGTGCAGTGCAGAGTATGGAGGGTGTGCATTTATCTCTAATTCCCGAGGTTGGGAATGAGACATAGCGTGGATTTATGGAGGGATGCATTTATAGAGGGTGCGCTTATGGAGGAGGGTTCACTGTAATTGTCTTCCACTAAACAAACAGTTGTACAGAAATGTTCATTGGTTTTTCCATGATTTTTTGGGAATAAATAAAGGCATCAATTGTTAAATTTTTTCACATTCCTTCGTCAACGGATGTGTCATTGTTTCTTTATTTTATAATTTTGAATCTTTGTTTAATATTTGTCTAGTAAATAGATAATGCAATAAGTTGATTCTAGCAACCTCAAAATAGCACTTGACTAAATCTTCACAGTTATTAGGGATAATGATCAGAAAATTGCTTCGAGAAAATTTAAACCCTTCTATTACTTGCAAATCAGACCCGATGAAAATTATAAAACTTGCCATTTCATGAAGATCAAGTATAAATGCCGGAAAGTCACATGCAAACTTCTTTAAATCAAACTTTTCTCTTGCGAATTCATTCTGAATGGTGCAAAGAATAATAATTATTGATTAAATAAATAAAACGTATTATTGGAACGTTACTTCTTTTAAAGGTGTTTTTGATAAACATTGGTAACTGCTGTCGTCATATTTTCTGAGCTTTCATAGATTTCTTCAACGTGGCAACAATATTATTCAAATTCAAAATTCAAAATTGCGTTGTTGCCGTTATCTTCCTTGTTGTTATCTTCGTTTCTATTTGACTTTGTTGTTATCATTATTGTTTTATCTGTGTTTTTTATTTATGGCGATGTTTTTGGTAAGGTTTATTACATCATTTTTGAAAATCACCTTATTATTTTTAATCTACACTATATTCCCCTTATTTGTAACAAATCAAGCACAACTTATAATTCGAAAAAAAAAAACTCCAATTTATTCAATCAATCGATCAGTGTTTAATCAAAAATTTCCCATTTTCTTTTTTAAATAAAATAAAGATGGTTAAGGTTGCAGTGCTCGGTGCTTCTGGAGGTATTGGACAACCTCTTTCCTTACTTCTTAAACTTAATGAAGCTGTTACAGAACTTGCGGTATATGATGTTGTAAATACTCTTGGGGTAGCAGCTGATTTAAGCCACATTAGTACACCAGCCAAAGTCACTGGCTACTTACCAGCTAATGATGGTATAAAAAATGCTTTAATTAATTCACACCTCATAATTATTCCTGCTGGTGTACCTAGAAAGCCTGGAATGACTAGAGATGACTTATTCAAGGTAATAAAACATATATTAATGTAACAATAATAATTTCACAATTTATATATGGATATATATGTGTGTTTAATAATTGATTATTTATTCATCAATTAATTAGATTAATGCAGGAATTGTTAAAAATTTGGCAACTAGTATTGCTCAATATGCACCGAATGCCTATATTCTTGTAATATCCAATCCAGTCAATTCAACGGTTCCAATTTTTGCTGAAGTTTTGAAACAATACAATGTATTTAATCCAAAGAAACTTTTTGGAGTAACAACACTTGATATAGTTCGTTCATCAACTTTTACAAGTTCAATTTCTGGAGCCGATCCTCGCGATGTCTGTGTTCCTGTTGTTGGAGGTCATAGTGGCGTGACTATCATTCCACTATTATCTAAAATTTCACCATCTTATAATTTCACACAAGATCAAATTGCTTCACTAACAAATCGTATTCAATTTGGTAATTTTACTTTATATATATATATATATATATATATATCATAATAATAAAATAAATAATAAAATTATTAAGACTTTTTTAATATACATTATACATGTATCTAATTATTGTAAAGGCGGTGATGAAGTTGTTAAAGCAAAAGATGGTACTGGATCTGCAACTCTTTCTATGGCATATGCAGGCGCCAAGTTTGCATCTTCTGTTTTGGATGCAACAGTTAAAGGTAAACCTGGTATAATTGTGCAATCATATATTAATCTTGATGCTGATAAGGAAGGTAGTTTTCAACTTAAAAACACAATTGATAACTTGGAATATTTTTCAACAAATATTGAATTGGGAGTAAGATTCATCATTATTTTATCAATTGTGAAATTATATTAATTTATAAATATATTAACCGAATATGATTTTTTCTCTTTAGCCAAATGGTGTTTCAAAGATTCTTCCACTTGGTAATCTCACTGAATATGAACAATCACTTCTTAAGGCTGCAATTTCTCAACTTAAAGCGAACATTAATAAAGGTGTTTCTTTTATGACAGAAAAATCAAAATTGTAAAATTATCCATCATCTTAATAAAAAAAAACAAAAAAAAAACAAAAAAAAAACAAAAAAAAAACAAAACAAATAACTTGATTAAAAGTTTTTTCATAATCTTTTTATAATGGAAATTTTCTAAATTCCATTAAATGTATCCATCCATAGTATAGTAATTGTGGTAATTATTCTTGTAAAAAAGTAATTACAGCAGTCATTTTCGGCTTTTAGATATTCTTTATGAACATAAAATAATTATTAAATTAAAACAGTTTCGGATATAATTTTGGCAACTATTAAAATTAACTACGGCCATTATTACTATTACTATTACTATTACTATTACTATTACTACAACTATTACTACATTAATAAAATTTCTGTAATTTAGTCGAATCATGTGACAAAACCATAGTCTAAGTGAATTTAAAATTCACAAAGCCAAATCTCGTTAAATTCATAGGTTTGGCATGGTGAGTTTTATGAATTTATTGAATCGAGAGTTTCTCTTTAATCTCAAGTCAAGAAATGACATTAGAGAGAGATTTTTAACGTTTGTGCAAAACCATTTAAACAATTGTGATTGAAATTCCCAAATTAATTATTTTCGTTAAATCAGGTCATTACTTTGGTGCTGAATTATCCGACCTTTTTGAAGAACATTTTTTCTTCCCCCCTTCTCTCCTAATTTTTCAACACATGCTTTACAAAAGGTTTTTGAGTTGCGTTGGTTTAATTTAATATTGGTTCTAATAATATGTTAAATTAATAAAGATGGCAAAGGTGCTTTCTCACGTTAACTTGTGGCTTGCGCAACTAGTTTCGGACATTTAAGTAAATGAGCGGGTATCGTCCGCATGACAAATTGTTACGCGGACGTTTTTGGACAATATATGTCAGCGCCCTAACTACGCAAAAATATACGTAATGAATGACTTCACAAAAAATTATGTTGGTTTTGGCGAATGTGTGTTGCGAAGTAGATATGCTGGAAGGATTTGTTTCTAAATACATACTTGGTCTATAATTTTTATACCATGATAGCGAAGGTCCATTTCTTACCAAAATTAAAATGGAAACCATTCATGATTGAATTTTATCCATAATGCCATGTTTAGATACAGCTGGTCAGTTATTTATGGATCTGAATTATTTTATTTATCGTTGCATATTCATTAATAGATGTATTAGTATATACCACAAAAATTTGTACGTTATTCGTATAAAATCTTTCCATAAATAGAATGATATTAAGGATTTCTTTAGATGGACTTGATGCATCATAATATAAGAAATAAACTCATTATATAAAAATATATTTATTAATTAATTAATTTATCAATCAATTATTTAAAAATACACCAAAAATAAAACAAACGGAAATGCATAGTAATTATTATAATCCTCTGTCTTTAGCTGTACAGAGAAACTTAAAAGAAATTTAAAAGAATTTAAAATAAATATATAGATGCATGCACACGTAATTATTCTTGCATAATATTATGTGAAGCCTAATTATTATGATAAAGATTGAAAGTTAATATCATATTTTTTTCTAATAGAGAAAAAGAAAAAAATAATAATAAATAAATTCTTACCAGCTCTTTTTTTTTTCTTTTTTTCCTTTGGTTTTAGAATTTATTTTTTATTGGTATTTCAATATATATGTATAACCACCATCTTAGTTTAATGATAACTCTGATTATAATTGTATAAACCTGTATTTTCTTGAATATTTTGATAGTTTGTTTTGTTATCACCTATAGGAGGAGCAGGGGAAGGGGAAGGGGAAGGAGAAGGAGGATAGCCGTAGTAATAAATGTTTGGATTATTATAATAGTATACCATCCCATTATTTTCTGAGGGAAATTGGGATTGAAGTAGGGGTTGAGGTAGAGGTTGAGGAAGGGGCTGAGGTAAGGGCTGAGTGATTGGTATACTTTTAATACTATTGTCTGCCAAACCTATTGGTGTGAATGGTACATTATTTATTGGATAATATGGTAACATTACTTTGTTGAGCTGAGGTGGAATATAATTGCTATTGACGACATTTAGATTATTTTCATCAGGTGAATGTATCTTTTCTTCGTTCACTATCGCCGATTTTGGTTTAAAAGGTCTTGCGAATACAGCTATTAAACATACATTCATAAACAAATGAATTGGTAAATAGGTTGGATTATTATTGAATAATATATTTATATGGATATTGATTAATTGACTGAAACAAACCTGTATGTGGAAGTTCACTCAATTTATGTTGAGGTTCATTGGTGTTATTTTCGGTTGGAGATTTTGGAGAATCTGGTTTATCTTCTGAATTGGTGTTAGTTTGAGGTAATGTGGTAACAACCCTTCTTGAAGAATATCTTTTGGATGAAGATGCTGTTGAGGTAGTAGATGGTTCAACTGGTTGGGTACTTGCGTTATTTTTTGATTCGATAGATTTCATATTCGTATTTTTCATTTCTTTTTGCTCAACATTATCAATTTCCTTTTCTTGATGGATACATGTAGTTATTTCTGGAGCATCTTCTTCATTGGATGCAATTTCCAATTCATTTATAGCCTTGGTGACATTTTCTATGTCGTTTTCAACTGATGGTGATGATGATGGTAATGAAATGCCATTATTCTCAATTTTTACGTCTTTCTTCTCAACCGCTTCGTCCTTTAAAGGTGAAATATCATTTTGTAAAGGTTCTTTTTTCTTAACTACATCTAGTTTAAGTGATGATGATGATGATGATGATGTGCCATGAGCTCTTTTGTAATTATGAGTTTTATTAAAATTCCTAGTATCGTTATTATAACCATCATCGTTAAAATCTTCATCGTATGAGGCGCTTTTATTTTTATGATTATAATTATTTCCATTAGCATGACGATAGTTATTATTATGACGGTGATTATTATCGTAACGGTGATAGTAGTTATTATCGTGACGGTAGTTATTACTATAATTGTGATGATTATCGTGACGGTAGTTATTATCATAATAGTAATTGTCATCGTAATAGTAGTTATTATTGTGATGGTAGTTATCATCGTAATGGTAGTTATTATTGTGATGCCGACTATTATTGTGATATTGGTTACTGCTGTTGGGACGGTGGTTGTTAGTGTTATGGTGGCTATTATTATTACGATATGAAGATGATGATTGTGGTTGTGGTTGTGGCTTTGGCGGTGGGGGCATTCGCGAATTTATATTACGCGTGTGTTGTGAAAATTCTAATCTTCTATTGTTATAATAATAATCATCATTATAGTTGCTGTTATTGTTATGTGGTTGATATTTGTTCGGTTGACGATAATCATTGCGTCTGTTCTCTTCATAGGTTGGACGATTCCTATTCTTTCTATCTATTGAATTACTTCGTTTAGGAGCAACAGGAGCCTGGTATCTTGAATGGTTATTTTGTGAATAGTTGCTTTCTCTACTCCAATGACGATTTGCCTGTATTTATATTACCATGCATGAGATTAATAAAAAAAATTTCAATCAATCAATAAAATTTCTCTAAATATGAAAAATAAAATTATATTTACTGGTGAGAAACCATCTCTACTTCTCCTTTGAAAATTATTTCTTCTTTTATCATCTTCTTCTTCCATACGTATCAATTCTTCATATCCATCATGTCCCCATTGATTTTCTGTTGGGGGATTTTTGAACCCTCCTTTATTTCTATTTATTATTTACAACAACAACAAACAACAAAATTAATTAATATAATGTGATTATCCCTTGAATAATGCGTTTACTATTTCTCAACGATTATATAGAAAATTAGCAAATTACCTTGATGGGAATTTTCTAAATTTGTTATTATTATCTTGAAGATTTTCAGCTTCTTCCTTGACAAATCGGTCATCATGACCCCAAAAGTATCCAAATTTAGGAACGTATGATGGGTCCTCTGCAAGTTTTTTCCTATAATCTTGCCTTGTTTGTGTGGTTTTTGTCGATTGATTATGATTATTATCATGTTCAGATTCGTCATCAACTATGTTTGAATCGGTTTTGTGAATTTCATCGGTATCTAGGCAATTGTTTTGAAGGTTTGAATTGGAATTTTTTCTGTTTTTTGTTAAAATGGTTTTGTTTGACGCCTCCTCATTATGACCATTATTGTTACTGCCGACAGGATTACTTGAATGTTTCAAGTTTAAACTGTTCTTGTCCTCGTTCTCAAAATCACTTTGTGAATTTTCACTGTTGATATCTGAGTCTTCATCACTGCTGCTATTGGCTTCAAAACCAGAATGGTACTCGTCTTCGTCGTCACTTAAATCGACTTCTTTTCGAGTGGTAGGCTCTTCCTCGTCTTCGCTAATTTCACCTATTGCATCAGCTGGTAATCCACGTCTTCGTAAATGTGATAGTTTGTGCATTTTTTTTATTTGGTATATGTAATGTTTGTGTTTTTGTAATCTTTAATGAATATGAAAATAGACTGAATAAAAATCTTTGGTTAATTTTATTTTTATTGGTTTCAAGGTTTTAAACTGATTTCATTGGTCAGAATTTGCATCATTGTAAAATTTCATTGTATATAAATAAAATAATAAATGTAAATATATTAATATTACAATATATAATATAACATCAGCAGTAATAGTAATGACAAATTATTATCAAAAGTCGTCCCAAGAACCCGACCATCCTTTGATTGCACCTCCTTCCAATTTTGCCATTGATATTTTCGAGAATCTTATTGATGATGATATTCAACAACTAACGCCTAATAATGAACTTTACACCTTTGAAATTTATTCTTCAACAGATTCAAATATCCATGACTTTGATTTTAATGTACCAAGCCCTGACGATATTGTTTTTGATGCACGTAATCAAAAGGGAGTCGTTTTTGATGTTGATAAGAAAGGTTAGTTTATGTTATCCTCGTCACATTCATAAATTATATTATATCAATTAAGGCATTTTATTGATAATCAGAACAAGAAAAACCATCGCCTTCTTCAAAATCACCAACACCGCCACCAACGCCAACAAAATCAACAAAATCAACGAAACCAATGAAATCAACGAAACCAACGAAAACGAAAAAAAAATCATCATCATAGTAGTAATGAATGATAAATTTCCGTGTCACAGTTATTATATTTAATAGTTAAATTTGTAAGAAATATATAAAATATTACTTACTTCTAAATGGAGAAAATTATATATACGCGAAAATTAAAAAAAATTTAAAGATTAAACAAAGGATAAAGGATCACGAATTTT